CGATGTGGCTCCTTGTTTTAGTGAACCGAGACTCGCCCCAGGCCACACGTCCTCCCTGCATACACTCACAGATTAACAGTAAGAGAAGTCAGGCCAGTGTATGGGCGCCGGTGTTAACCTGGAACTTCTGTGTTCTGTTCCAGAGGTAACAGTGCAATCCTGCTCAACAGTATGAGATGCAGTTCACTCCGATTTTCGAGACAAGGGTTGTTTATTCTATAAAAAAACAATATTGGGTCCATATTCTCCTCTGCTCCTGTGTTTATTTGTAGTGTTGATCCATAAGAAGATATATTTGTGGTTTTAAGAACCAAAAACTCTCTCAATGTAGTTTTACATCTCCTCTCTCTCCCCTCTATCCTTCTCTCTGGAGCTCTAGCAACATTAGGGCGTTGGCTTCTGAGCCTCTCTTCTGATTGGCTGACTGTTTCCTGAGTGACACAACCCTAACCCTGACCATAGCTAAAAGATTGCAGCCTTCTGCTGTAGCTTGGTAAAACTCACTGGTAAACACAAAGGGCAATAGTCAGAAAATGAGAACAGACGTTCAAATTCAGATTAAAATGCTTGGTTATTTCAGAAAAACTTCTCTCTAATATTACAATTATCCTTGGGAAGGTTGTGCAATGATATACTGGCTTCCTGTCTTGTAGCTTGCTAGCTCAGTGACAGAATGACCACTTGGTGCTGTGTTGTTAATACAAGTCAAAACAACAAAAAAAAACTATAGACAGTAGATTCAGGTGGTGTTTGAGGGCGATGACATCACAATGAAGCTCTGAGCCTCTCTTTTTTAATTGGCTGACTGTTTTCTGAGTGATAAAAATATAGCAGATTTCAGGTAAACACTCAGAGAAACAAAATCCTGCTAGGTTGGATGGTGGGTTCAGGTGGGCAGGGCATGGGGCATGGCTGAGAGCAATGACTGCTTTGTTGTGACATCACAAAAGTTCCAGAAGTCCTGACGGCTGGTTTTAAGGCTCATTTTCTGAATACAGGCTGTGTGCATTTCTCTCTGGACTCAGGCTTTGATACTTTCACAGTATTAATACAGAACCTAGACCTGCTTTATAATTAAAACAAAGGCATGGACAGCTAACTTTATACTTTATTATATGGGACCTTTAAATTACAACGACTGACAACGAGAAAACTAGAATCACTAATTCATTCACATTGATGATCTGTTATCAGGCTAGTGTAATAAATTACATCATACATATATACTCTTTATACAATATGGGACCTTTAATGTTTCTGCTTTTAGCAGCCTTTAACAAGCTCCATTTCCCACATCCCCACAGACTGTCGTGGGTGAAAGGTCAACAGCTTGATGGACTGAGGCCAGTCAAGCGGCTGTGAGACGGGACAGAAGGGGCTGAACAATGCAGACATTTTTTCAGACAGAGTGATTCCAGCTAATAAGCTGGAAAGAATCTGAATAGGAATCATAGATAATAATTTCACAGAATACTAAGAATCTGGTGGAATCTCAATTCAAGGTACACTTAATTACAACAGATGGAATTTGCACAGCGGTCATAGAATTTAGTTTAAACATTTACTTTTGCGACTTTTTAAAATGTTCTAAAAGTGTTCAGGATAATGGGACGTTTCCAACTTGTCACAACTGAACAGTCAAAAAACAGTATTAAGTTTTAAAACTTAAAAGCTTTATAACTCTAAACTCACTAAAGGTTAAAATCCCAGCATTAGTGTGTGTAGTAGATACCCATTACCTCCGCCAAGGACGTTTTCACCCACGTCTGTTTGTTTGTTTGTTAGCAGGATTATGCAAAAGAGTACTGAACCGACTTTTGCCAGACTTGGTGAAGGGATGGGTCACGGGCCTGGGAAGATTTTGGGGTAGATGCAGATAATTTACTATAAATATGATTTTTTTTTTTCTGAAGTCTGGTGAATGTTGTTTGACATTGGCCATGGTGGAGGTCTGCACTCTCTGAGTGCCCTTCTACTTAATGTGGTAATATGGCTGTTAAACCCCAGGAACACATTTCATTTATTCATAAACACCAGTGAAGGAAACCCTTAATGGGAGATTGAGTTTCTGAAACATTAGAGGGCAGGAAGTGATGTCAGGACTTCAGCTGTATATGAATCTTGTGTCAGTCACTCAGTGTTGTCCCACTCTGGATCATCATGTCTGTTTGATTATACGCTGATTGTTGAACTTACGGCTCCTGTTTCTTGGCTCGTGTGACTTTGTTGTAACAGGGTCACTGTGATCTCACATCTTATCAATGACAGAAATACACGGATGAGACTAAGACGGAATATATATAAAAAACCACATTTCAAATATTGTCGCTTGTAATTGCCACTGAAGCTTAAAACAACTCTTAGAGTGTGTAAGTGTGTGTGTGTGTTTAGGTGAGCAGGGTGTTTATTTCAGCTGTTTGAAGATCACAAATCATTTTAAACAGCACTACTTGTATCCAGATGTAACAAGCACAACAAAGACCCATTTCATTATTGATGACTTGACTCGTTTGCTGCTGGAGATTCATTTTTTTCTTCATTTGTATGTGAAGTGAGTAAACCCTAAATTGAGCAAAACGCTTTTCTGCCTGGGGAGTCGACAACGACTCTGCCAGGAACGACGCGGCTACAGTCAGCGAGCCATCGGCAAACTGCTTTGTTATGCTCAACACCATCAATCTCCATGCATAAGAATAGCCAACTTCAATACCGCCATCGATCGGAGAAACCTTTGGAAACAGCTAAGGTCACAGCCTCGTCCCACCTCAAAAAGTTGCTGTGATTGATTTATACATTTTTAAGCCATTTCCCCTTCAAGTTTCTGAGCGGCGTGGAAGGAAAGTGAGGCGCTAATATGTCAGATGAATTCCTCATCATCGGCTGGAGGAAACAGGCATCTGACAGGCGCGTGAATTAGGACGAGCCTGGACAGGGGTGAAAGAGCAGGAAACTCACGTTAAAAGGGAAGAGGAGAGAAAATCACAGTAACTGAAGCAAGCGAGGAGTAAATGGAGAAAAGTGGAGAAGAGAGGGAAAATGCCAACTTCTATTAGAAACGTGGATTTCAAAACAGAGCTTGTCATCAAAAGAGTATCAGTTAATTGATCTTTCTCATCTCTTATAAAGGATGTAATTTGCATCACTTTCCTTTCCTTTCCTGTGTGAGTGTTTGTGTGCGTGTGTTTGGTGAGCATCTTTCCGCAGAGAGCTTTTCAGTGTGGGTGAGCTGGTTTGTGTCGTGATCAAACAGACTTTCTGTTCTACAAATAAACCCAATATTCTCCTCTTGCCATGTATAAAGGAAACACTTCCACTGTCTCTCTTTTTACCTCCACCAAGGTGTTTTCATGTCTGTTCGTTTGTTTATTTCTCAGCAGGATTACGCAAAAACTACTGAAACGATTTGCACCAAACTTGGTGGAGTGATGGGTCACGAGTCAGTGACGAACCCATTACTTTTATTATTTTGGAGCAGATCTGGTTAAAGGGGCGGATACAGAATTTTTTTTTATCACTTTCCTTAACAATTTTCGACACTTTTGACACTTTTCTCAGTTTCTCAGTAAATAACGTTTGGATCTTGGTGTAAAAAATCTGACATATTTATGCTGTTGAGATCTACGAGTTGCAGTTGCAGATAATAATCTGGATCTGACAGACATGTCTAGTATTGTTTGGCCTTGGCAGAGGTTTACGCTCTACTGAGTGCCGTTCTAGTTATTAGACTTGTTTATTGATGGACTGACAGGTAGTTTGATGACTTCCTGTCTCATCATTGTTAGGATTTCACGACATAAACCACGGCTGTTATTCTAACTCGATGAGGAGGTATGGTTTCGCTTTTCTCTCGCCTCCTCCCCTTTCTTCTCATCCTGTCACTCCACAAGTCTGTCTCATGTCGCCGCGGAAAACCTCTCCGTGGAACCGCCGATAATGTTCCCACCATCCTCTAATATAAAGACCTAACCATAACTTGACTTTACTGTTATTATTCTATTATGTTACATAATTCTCCAAGGATTAAAAGTTGTTTTGTTTTTGCCTCTGTTTGATAGCAGACAGTGCAGATGCAGACAGGGAATGAGGGGCATGAGAGAGGGTTATGGTACACAACAAGGTTCCCCAGCTGGAATTGAACTGAGGACACTGCGGTTACATGATACATAGTGTAACTATTCAGCTACCAGGAAGCTCCTGCTGGGAGCATTACTTTACTTTATTCTTGCCTTTTTCCTCCCATTTCCACATCTTCTCTTTTATTTTCACATCATCTTCACTTGGGTTGGGCACAGGGATTTTTGTTTCTGGAGTAAAGGAATTTCAGCGAAACCTTCCTGTCAGATTTGTTTCACTGAGATAGGTTCATCCTGAAGTTCTGAGTGCGCTTCAAACAAACTAGGTTGCGGTCTGAGCGTTGTCTGACCTTGTGTAAACGTGGCCAAAAGTTTATACATCTTCCAAAAGGTCTCGTCTTGGGGCAAACAAACCCCGCCCTCATAGAGAGGAGAGTGACACAATGAATAATACAAATGGGGATAACAGTGTGCACTTTCAGTCTCTCTCTCTGAAGGCACGCAAGCTGCTGCACTCAGTTGTACACATGAAAAGTGGCAGAGGAAGTTGTATAAAGAATGGGAAAAGAGAGTTTGAGAGAGAAGTACCAAACTTGCCCCCAACCTCAGACTTGACCTCTGACCCCACCATGAGGCTATCAGACGGTCTGACAGACACTTAGTTTGAAGGATGCTGAGCACAGTTAGGGTCAACAGGAGGGTGAAGCAGAATTCTGTCTGCTACTTTTGATGGAAGGGGTTTAACCATTTTGGAAACCATACTTGGGGTAATCCGGTCTTTATCCACATGCGGGCTTGCATTGCTTTTGTACCACTATACCACATGACGTACACAACTAAACCAGTCGCTAAGAAACAAACCTTTCTAACCTGTTCTCCTCTTTTCCTTCCCTCTGTCCTTGTCCCTATCTCTATCCCTCCATGCAGGGTAACCAAGAGGCCCCAGCTCCCCCTGAAGCCATGGCCCAACCCTTCCCACCGGCCCAGTACCCCCCTCCACCACAGAACGGGATCCCTGCTGAGTACGCCACGCCCCATACCCACCAACCGGCCGACTACACGGGACCAAGCACGGTGGCCGAGCACGCCCTGACACTGTACACGCCGACACACACACACAGCGAACAGCCGGGAAATGACAGCAACACCCCCGCCCTCACAGCCAACACAGTAACGGTGAGTCGTCTGCGGTTCACATCAGATCACATCTACCTGTTTATCAGGTACCCCTGTGTTTTCCTGTATTTTCATTAAGAAGGTGGCATCAGTGAAGGCTAAAATAGTTGACTGATGGTCTGATTGCTAATGTAATTTTCTTTTTTTTCTTTTTCCCTGCACAACAAGGCTAAAAAATATTTCAGTGCAAACATGCAAATGCATAAATGTTTCACGCAAAAAAAAAGTTAAATAAAATTGTCTCATTCGCAGTAATTTGTGCTACACTAAAGTGATTTCACACATGTAACATCTCTAGGAAGTGCAATAACGAGCATTTATTCGACTCCATTCAGTGCCAGATAAACTGTACTATGCATGGTTGGTCCTTTGCCTCATGTCCTCAGTCTGCTGTGGTTGTGCAGCTGGAACCAGGATTCACTCATCAGTCGCCTCCAAACACATTCAGTGTGTGCGTAGGGACAGGAGAGGCACCAAAGCAGAACACACTGCGACCTCCGCCCCACATAGTGAATATTATGATGAGGCATCATTTATTGTACAGTTCTGGCATATCTACACTTAGTTCCTCCTTTCCTGCTACCCACCCTCATGCCAGTTGCATGTGTGTTCACATTGATTCTGTATGGTCCATCCTATCACCCATTATTCTGTTTAAACCTTATGAATTGATCTATCTGTGAATCCAACGTCTAACCTGTACAGATGTCGAAGGTTGTGTAAAGATCTTTGTCCTGAGCTGAGTCAATGAGGAAGGGTTAGAGCTTCTTGATATGTGTAACGCTGTCGGCAAGTAACGTAAACCAATCGGTTGGTTTTAGGTTCACTTTTGGCGTCTTTAAAAAAACTGGTCAGTCAGATGAGGCTATTGTGAGCGGATGTCCTCCTCAATAGTTACGAGGTAGAATCTGTAGATTGTAGAGCCTGATGCCAGATTTTTTTATTGGTTTTAAATTCAGTGTAATTCCTGAGGTCACCGGATCATGAAATCCTGTATAGTGATACTACTAATATCAGCTTCCTAGTGCAAAGGTTTTCAAAGTGGGAGGCAGGCCTCACCAGGGGGGCTCCACACAGTTTCAGGGAAGGCTCAGTGAATGGAAGAGAAAAAATATTACAAGTTATTATATTAGTTATCAAAAAGATATGTAAATGAGCCTAACTGTATGTGATTTGGTTATGGGCTCAAATAACATAATCATGATCCCATAGGCATCCAGGAATTGAGCAAAGTAAGTTAAGGTTGGGTGAGGGGGCGACTCTTTGTAAGGTCTGTCTGAGGGGAGGCCCACAGTCTGAGACTTTGAAAACTCCTGATCTAGCGCACAGTTAATCTGACTGTGGCTCTTGGCTTGAGTCAGGTATTCATTGTAAATGAACTGTAGCCCAGGTCAGTAGGTTCGGGCAATATCCTAAATTTAATGTCTTGATGCATTCCAGAACAAATATCATCATATTTGAAATCATTGCAGAAGGGTTTTTTTTCCTTCCCACCAATAATATATAATTATATTGTTATATTTTATGTTTTTTATAAGAATAAAAATTGTATATCATAGTATTTTATGTATATGGTATAGGCGATGTGTACAGTAAGCAAGCAGTGAAATGAGGGTTGGAGTTGGCAGCAGGGCAGACTGTGCAAACATGCATTATGAAAAAAAGGGCAAAAATAAAAATGTGATATTGTGAAAAATATTACATATGGTGGGAAATATTGCAATATTTGATAAATATTATTTATCAAATATGGACCCAAGCCTACATGTCAGAGCTGTGTTTTAAATAGTAATCAGTTAAAGAACGCAGATGATGTTTATCTTTCATCAATAACTGAAAAACTGCCTGTGAGTACATCTTTAGTTAATTTGCTCAGTAATCTTTAACAGATTATTGTTAAAGTGGCTGTGAGATAAAAGCCAAGCTGTGGGCTGAATCTGACTTCAGAATGCAATGGGCTGCAGACAGTAAAATCAAAAATTCAACCCGCCGTTTTATAATTTAACATATGTATATTTTAGCGACCAGTCCCTGGAGTGCCATTCTGCTTTGAAGGTTTTAAGGTTTGGAGATAGTTAGTCGAGGCAGAGAGTTTCCTTGCTGCGCTCAGCTCAGCCCAGATGCTTTTGTAGTGGTGGGTGGTAACGCTGAGAAGAATGCAGGGAACTGAGAGCGAAGCCTCTCTTGCCGACTCTAGGACTGTCTTTCTGAAGTTTCTTTGACACCGCACTTCACACAACATGAAACCTAGAACTTAAAAAGTCAAAAGTACCCCACCCTGTGCTCCCAATAAGCTCCAGAATCTGAGAGGATGCATAAAACAAGAAAGTAAATGAGATCCTGATGATATATACCAAACTGTTAGATTTCATTTAAAAGGATTTTAGTATTCTCTTGGACATTCGCCATCAGATCAAGCAAGTGTGGAAATGCATGCATGAACTATACATTCACACACACACTCACACCTAGCAGGGATACACTCATGGCTGCATGTTGCTGACAAATGAGCTGTATTTCAGCTGCACTTCAGCATAGAACCACACACACACACACACACACACACACACACACACACACTGTAACACTACAGTTAACTGCACCAACACTTGCCTCTAGTTGAGGAGCCTTCAAGCTGTCAGGCCCAATAAGACTGGAGCATGCTGGGAAGGCATGGGACTGTACTGTATAGACAGTGATGGCAGAGTTGGGGAGTCCAGTGAGAGAAGACTTGGTACAGTCAGCATTACTGGGAGTGTTTTACAGTCACTGTGGAGAGTTTGTCACAGGCTGTAATTGTTACTGTCAAGAGACATACTTGGTGGAGGATAAAGGAGTAAGACACCACACACACAGCCACCGTGGCCTAAAAGACACTTACTGCATTTATTGTCCAAAAATATACTGTCAGAGCAGTACATCAGGTTGATGCTGTGTTGTTGTTGTTTTTTTTTCTTTGTCTAAAAAATGAAGATTAGTCTATCAGTCTTGCCTCTAACATCCCAGCATCAGAGGTGGAGTGGCCATCGGGCGAACCAGGACTTTTCCCCGGTAGTGGTGGCTCAGTGTGAAAGAAATAAAACATCAGAGAGTGACAGAGAAAAGGAGCGAGAGCGAGAGGGAGAGAGAGAGAGAGACAGAGAGACAGAGAGAGAGATGTGGCTGTGCCATGATGATCAGCCCAGTAGAGCAGGCTGTTGGCCATCATCTCCTTCATGTCTGTCTCCCTCACTGTTTGGTTTGGCCCCATAGCTCCGCCCACCTGCCTACATGTCTGTGTCTTTATCGTCATGATGCTGAAGTAGTTAATAGTGGACTGAAAACAAGACAAGGGCAAAACCTAGTCTATGTCTGGACCTCCTCTGGTCAAATCCTGTTTTTATAACTGTGACGTCATCTGACAAAATCACCAAACACATAAATGAAAGACAAAGACTGAGCTGTGATTTATTTACTGTAACATGATCACTCACAGAGAAAGTTACAAGAGACAGACTCTCTTTCTTATTGAGTCTCTGACACAGAGCACAGCCTCCGTATGGATCCACAATAGTTTAGTCTTTATTAACTTCAACTCCAGAACGTAACAGACTTTTATTAGAGGCAGGTCTTTATGCCTAACTCCCTCTGTTTGATACGTAGAGTCAGTCATAGTGGTATTTTTCAGTTGCTCCCGTTTGCCGTGTTAAAGTTACTGCATTAGGTGTTCTGTTCATACAAACCCAAATGCTTCCTTTAATCGTTTCAAATTAAAAGCCCTCTGGCGTTTCAGTGGATGGTGTGGCTGGAAAGCTCAGATAGCAGAAGTTAAAATGCAGAGTAACAGAGTGCGTTCAGGACCACAGCTCCCAGTCAGTCCAGTAAAAACACCGGTAGGCAGAAGACAACAGGAAGCTAGTCTTGAGTTGATTTAGCAGGATGATGTTGTAAAGCTTCTTTTTCTGCTCTGGTTGATTTCTTCAGAAATTCTAATACGGTAATTAAAGTCCTCAAAGTCTGTGTGATCCTCTCAGATCTACAGAATTATATTACACAAAGATCCAATGAAGGATGAAAAGTCACAAAAATTAAAATATGTCTGCTGCTGCACTGTCCAGTCTGAATTCTAATCTATAGCTACTTTGATGGTGTATTTGTGGACTGTTATATGAAAAGGTGTTTTCGATACAGTTTTTTAAAAAACTACAAGAATAAAATCATCAATAGAATCTGAAATTGAATCGTGTAAATAACAATTAGACTTTGACATTACAAAATTCGTCTTCCGTTTACATGATTCTTGGGATTCAGGCCGTTTGTGGTGGTCTTTCTCCAGATGGGTTTTGGTGGATCAAGTCAGAAGTGAGAGGCTCTTAGAGAATAGAGAGAATATTTTTTTTGACCTGCTGCAGGTCGGTGCTCGGACACTGACCGGGCTCAGTAGAGGCCGCTGGTTGCTGAACCCGCTGTGACTCACGAGGCACAAAACATGACCCACGTGTGTGTTCTCTGGTCAGGCAAAAACACGGGGTGGAATTCATGGGTGGAGATGAAAACCAAAATCACTCTTAAAGGACCAGTACGCTCACAGTACGTAATCCAGAAGGGGGTAGGCAGTTGCGGTTTTCAGTGGGATAAAAAAAACTTTTAAACATAAGACCATGAAATTTGGTCAAAGAATAAATTCTAAAAGTGATTTTTATTCTTACATTCTGTATATATGGTACAATGGCTTTGATGATATTTCGGCTGTGCGTGGAAAAAAACCTTGACCTAAAAATTGTCCAAGTTGTCTTTTATTCAGTTCTATTTTCTTAGTACATTTATTTAATTGCTGTAGTTAGGTATTTGCAGCTATCTTACTTGTTTATTTAGATTTTTTCTTTTTTATTATTCCATGTATTTGTGGGTTGCTTTGTTTGCTTTTGTTAAACTTAATGAAAAATTAAAGTGATTTATTTTGATTTCACTTTATTATTTGGTGTTGAGAATCTTGAATTCCACACGTTAAATTGTCTTTGTGGCCAAACATAAGTTCATCCCATGGTGTTCCTCCATGGATGGACTTGGTCGCTTGACATTGAGATAACTCAGCTGCTGTCACAGATGTGTGAAGTTGGGCTCTGTGACAACAGGGGGTTGTATATTGGGAGGAGATGGTCACCCCTGTGTGTGTATAAGGATTTTTTCTGTTGTCAGAAGTCAATGCCCTGCTTGATCTTTCTTTAGCTTGCGGTTGTTGACCTTTGACCTCTCTCTAGTGGATGTTGTTTGAACACAGGGGTCGCCATCCAGCTTGACCCACACTAAGTGAGGATATTTCAGCTTCTGCTTCTTCCATTTTCACCTTTCTTATTTGTCTCTTGTGAGTCCCCCAACTTCATGGATGTGTCATACTAAATCAATAGGGTAACGTGGTTATGTTTCCTTGCATATGCTTGTGTGCCTGCATGTGTGTGTGTGCGTGTGTGAGTGTGTGTCTTGGTCTAATTCCTGAGGAGAGAAGGCTCGGGAGCCGTCTAGCTGTGTTTTAATCTACCTATCTGGCAGCGCTTAGATGTGATAGCTTCCATTATAAGCCTGAGGAGGTGGGCTGCAGTCGCACTGCTGAGCTCAGTAAGTAACACACACACATCCGTGCACACACTCCCTCAAACATGTCGGAGATCTAACTGGCTATTTAATCAGGTGGAGGTGTTTAGGGCAGTTTGGAGCGGTTTTGGCTGCTTGTGTGCTTTGTGTGTGCTTTGTGTGTGTGTGTGTGTGTGTGTGTGTGTGTGTAAAGGAGGCTTGGTTGCATAGATTAGTTGTGTATAGCTTCCCTCCTCAAACACACATGCACACACACACACACACACACACACATGCAGACTACACAGCTTTGTACTGGTTTCCTGGTGACAGGGAGGAAGCTCGGCCTGCTTGTGTATGATATTGTTCATGTAATTATTTCCTCTTCCTGCCTGGCTGCTCACACACCATGGATGGTGGAGGCATGGCAACCACAGAGAAAGAGAGAGAGAGAGAGAGAGAGGGAGAAGAGCAGAGGCTGATGTTGGCTCTTCAGACTGTTAGACTGTGGCAGTAGACGGCTTACAGCATTAAAGCTGTTCCATTTGATACCATGCTAAACTTAATGAAAGACTACAGCCAGCTTCTCGTGCTAACACACTCACACACACAGACACACGCACAGACACACACACACACACACACACACACACACACACACACACACACACACACACACACACACACACCGGCTGAGGAACAGGGATCAACAGAGGAAACTTCATCTATGTGGGGATTTGTGATGCATCGGCTACTTTGAACAGGATTATTTCACAGTCTTTACATTATAATGGAATCATGACAATGTAATGCCAATAATAGCTGTATTTTTTACTTATGAAACATTTGTTATCAAAGGGCTTTATGATGTAAATACACACAAACGCACAAAGCCACACAACATACGCATGGGAATATAAATCAGTCTGGAAAAAATTCCACTGACCACATTAGATTAGAAGGGAGAGGAGTTACTTCAGGTGCCAGGCTTTCAGAAGCTAAAGGTTGAAGGTGACTAGTTAGAAATGATCTTTTTTATGGTAAAAAGTCAAAGATATGGTTTATTGTAAAAGGAAAACAAAAAACAAACAAACAAACAGCTGTGCTGGAAACTGTGCACCCTTATTATTATTTGTACAGTGCATTTATGGGCAATTATCAATGGTTGCTACAGAGCTGTTAACACCTGCACACTGACAGGTGATCCAGTTGTGATCCAGCTGTGCCATCGTCATCAGAAAACAACTCAGATGATGGAAAGGATCTCTCATTCCTCTGAAAATATGTTTCCTCAGTTTTTCTCTCCTTGCATCTTTTCCCGCCTCTCCTCTCGTATCTTCAGTGGGAGGGACAAAGACGCATGTGAAGGAAAAGTGGATGCAATTGAGGGAATTGGGATGTAGCCCAAGGCATTTATGGGAAGATCCATATCTTTGTCTTTCTCAGTTGTTTGTTTTGGGTTTTTTTCCTGCAGTCACACAAACAGAAGCTCACACAGTTTAATATTCAAGTATTAAGTGGCAAAGATGATTCATTAAAAATGTAACTATTGGTCCAACTGAGGAGTATATTTCATACATCAACACAAACACCGTCTGGTTTTATCAAAAACCATAAAATTAGGAATCTGTCTTCGTAAGAAAAACGGCCGCATTAGTCTTTTGTTCAGACGCCTGAAACAACCTATGATTATTTTTACCGGAGAAGGATTCATTAAATTCCACTTGAGTCTAGAGACACTCTTTGTTTCCTGGCTGCTACCAACAGTCAGAGTTGCTTCTTTAACCAGCTGATTTTCTTCATTGTGACAGAATACGAAACAGTCTCACAGTTCCTAAGTAAACTGCCGGATCACAGCCAGGTTGCTGTTTTGCTGCTTACAGATCCAATAAGCTTTTCCCCTGCCAGCCTCCACATAGAGTTAAACCACTGGTTTCAACACTCAGTACCTGCGTCACCCAAGGCTGTGTTCTGCCATATGTACTGCATTTATACATGAGCTTCTCATGAAAAAGTTTTTAGATGGTAAATGCCATAAGTTAACTGGGTTTTGACTGCAGCTCCTCTGACTTCTTCAAGTTAAGAGGACAAGTCAATACAGAGCCAGCCTAAATTATGCCACTTCCTTCCCCAGCCTGAGGGAAGCAGAACAGAATAAAAGCAAGTTATTGTATCTGCAAAGTAGAGTTGGGCAAGAGCTGTAATAAACCTACCAGACATGAATTTATAGAGAACATCCCAGTAAGCAGTGAAGCCAGGAACCTTTCGTTTTCCTAATGTGCAACATAAATTGTTGGGCTGAAACCAACCAAAACCAATTGACTTTTGTTTGCCCTGATGGTTCTGATTCTGATAGTAGCAACTCATTTCAGGTCGGCTGGAGTCTCCTTCCAGTCGAACATGCCCAGAACACAGGGAAGCGTCCTAACCACATGTCCAAACCACCTCACCTGGCTCCTTGCTAGAGCAGCAGTTCCACTCTGAGCTCCTCACTCTTTAGCTACTTGAGTCTGCAATCTCATTGTTTGTGTCAATATCCAAAAGTGCACGACCCTAGGAAAGGTTTGAAATGTTGATTGACTGTTGAATGTAAAGACAGTCAGTGAGGCGTCTATGTTACTGCTGACATGGCACCAGTCTGTCTGTTGATTTCACTTTCCATCTCACCCAATTCCCAATCACAATACTCTTCTATACAGGCAGGTAGTTAGATGGATATATAGATCTATTATTCTACATCTTTAAATTCAGAACATAATGAGAAATGAAATAATTCCGAAATTTCTTCATTAGTTGCCATAATGTCTTTACCAGCCGTCTTCTTCTTGATATAGTTTTACATCTCCTCTCTCAGGCGTCTCTCTGGAGCTCTAGTGACAACAGGTTGGTGAGCCAATCAGAAGAGAGGAGGCTCTGAGATTCTCTTCTGATTGGCTGACTGTTTTCTGAGTGATCCAATAAAAATATAGCAGATTACAGGTAAACACTCAGAGAAACCAAATCCTGCAAGTTTGGATGGTGGGTCCAGGTGGGTGTGGCTGAGGGTGGTATCTGCTTTGTTGTGACGTCACAAAGTTCCAGAAGTCCTGACGGCTGGTTTTAAGGCTCAGTTTCTGAATACAGGCTGTGTGCATTTCTCTGTGGACTGAGGCTTTGATACTTGAGTATTAATACAGAACCTAGACCTGTTTTATAATCACACAACACATGGGCATCTACCATTTCACAACATGGGACATTTAATACATGACTCACGTGTATGGTTGTGGTTTGACAAATGAAATACTTGATTAAATTTTGGGAAATAGTGTGGTTTTATATTAAACTGGACCTCCCCTGACCTCCACACCAGTACACCCTGAATGTTGAGACTGAACATAAATCATGAGGTGTTGACATTTTCAGTATGAACGTACTATATACCAATAGGTGGTCTATGTGTCCTGAGTGAGCTTAGCCAGGCCACACATCACTTCCCTCCACTGTGCTTCACTCCTCTCCTCCTCCACAAGGCCCATTCTAATATTGGCTTTGCTGTAGACATTTCTCATGTTGTTAAATGTTTTTTTTTTTTTTTTATTCCTCTCAGACAACTTTCTTAATCTCCCAGGTCACATATTGATGCCTCTGGAGCAGAGAGAGGGGAGATCAGTCATAAAATAAACCCTGATTTGACAATTTAAACCCACACAGGAGCATGCAGATACAGCTCTCTTTGATGGCCCCCCCCCCCTGCCCAATTTTACCATGTTGCTCTGTCAGTATTCTGATTCTCTACTGATATGTCGCCCCATCCCGTTCTAGTTTTCAAACTGAACAACCTCACCTCTCACAAAAGGAGCTAACCTGTGACGTGCTGTGTGTTTCCCTGCAGCAGGCCGAGGAGGCTGTACAGACAGAGGGCTCCCAGCAGCTCCACCTGCAGCCCAACGACTCGTCCGGGAAGCAGCAGCCCAAGAGGTTACACGTCTCCAACATCCCCTTCCGCTTCCGAGATCCTGACCTCCGGCAAATGTTCGGGGTGAGACGACAACTGCACACACACGAACACACATGAACACACACACACACACACACAACCTTACTGCACTCAGGCACCATACACTACGGGGAATGCATTTATATCCAGTTGGATCTGTACAGTACTCTTGCTCTAGTCTACTTTTCAAGAGCATAGAAGCAAATTCAGCCAAAACGAGATTGTGTATATACTGTATTTAATATGATTATTACAATATAATTATGAGCAGAGATAACTCTTCACCTCTCATGTTTTTAATATAGAATTTTGTAGCCTGGTTTTAATGTAGACTGTAAGTATTATATCATGTTTTAAATGATCCACCTCTGTTATTCCAGATGATACTTTTCAATGCAGTAGCTCAACTTGTCAAGCTAGTATGTGTGTGTGTGTGTGTGTTTGGATTTGTCTGTGCTCAAGCTTAAAGGAATACTTTATGCTTAAATCACGTAAAAGCATGTAAGTGTCTTAACATTTAAATCACATAGGGATCTGTTTTCATGAACCAGGAAGGGCTCTCTAAAATGGTCCCCGCTCAGTGCACCAAGTACACTTGTATGTTTTCGTGGCCAGGCACAGCTTTGGTACATGGGATCAGAAATAATACATTACGATACATTAGAGATCGGCGTGTTAGAGGTTGTGACAGTCATAGCCAATCACATTCAATTCTTTCATCCCCTTTAAACACAAAGCTCTCCCTGTCATGATGCACTGACAGTGTGAGAATGCTGTGGCGAGGTGTTTTTCAGAGGAAACTTTATGTCTGGGAGGTAGAGAACAGCTGAAATGCACTGTCAAGAGGAGGAAATTAGTCTTTTAATTTGAATTCACTTTGGACAGCTTGAAGATCTTGTGATCGTTATGTTTTCCTTGTTAATAGTGCACTGTTCTATCTGTCATACAATGATCCAGAATCATCTGACATTAAATAACATTGTACAGTCAGAGTAGAATTAAAAATGTAGACCAGATTTTTCATGTTTTTTTTCTTTATTTCAGTTAGTCATTAGTTTTAATGTATCAAGCAGCCTGGATTTGTCTGTTTTACATGGAAAAACTCATATTTGCCTGGCTCATCATCACATTTAGAAAACAGCGTGATCCACAAAAAATTTTAATTTCTAAAGTAGCACTCTTTGGTTTTTAGAAAAACTAGACTCTCTATCACATGATGGTGGTGATTGCAGCAGCATGTCTGTCTGTTTTGTAAGGTCCTAAATAGAGCAAGAAACTGACCATCCTGAGGGAGTTATTAGTGGAAAGAGAAGTTTTAATTGATGTAGGATTTTTAATTAGACTAATGTGTCTGTATCCAACACATGGTTTACAGTAGAAACTATAGAATAATCAATAAAAAAACAAGTCTTGGCACAACATTTGTTGGCACAAGATTTGTGGCACAACATTAAACCAGCAGATCTGCTGCACGTACTTCAGAGTTTGAATGCCTTTACTGTCGTTGCACAGCTTTGGAACAAAATTCAGTGTGTGTCCCCGATACAGCACGTTATTCAGTTCAGAGGAGAGTGAAGCTGCTGCATCTGTGCACGCCGCCATCTTGTCCTTTGCAGTAAAGAAAAAGATCATTGTGATCATAATAGTGGATTGACAGTGCAACAACATCACTCCTGTTAGAGACTGCAGATGGGAGACATACCTGCTTTCTTCAGACGGCTGTAAAGGAGACAGACTACCCACAGACTGTCAGGGGTTACAGAGCTGTAAGAGCCACATGTTAATCTTTTTTTCAGTCTGACTAGCATTAATGCCACAGTACAGCTTTTTGGTCTGCATTATCAAAGGTCAGCCGGTTAAAAAAAAGGTCAAATAAAAGTAGAAAGAAGAGCGACGCATGAACAAAAGGGCTTGTGTGATTTTAGGGAGGTTTATATGGAGGTGATTGCACTAAATAAAGGGACCTTTTCCCACTGTGGCGCACAGCAGTTACCAAAATACCAACCTGACGCAGTCGAGGAAATAACCTCAGTGCGCTGCAGGACCCATGCGTCAGCAAAAAAATAAAGCCCCTATCGTCTTTTATTTATCTAGTGTTATCCCTCATGCAAGGAAGTATGAAAAGTCCTCAACAGATTAAATACATAATTGAATATTAATTCTATGGCAATTTTCCAATAAATATACAGTAGGTATCTGTATATGCACGTGGACTTGACACCTAAGAGTGAATCCACTGCTCCTGCAAAATCAAACTGCAGAAAGTAGACCGAAAACAGCCCTTGGCTACGATGACAGCTGGTCATCAGAAGCTGTGATAGAGCCAGAACACAGAGCAGTGACTGACGAACCATTGGAGGTAAAATTACGAGGCACCTGCGGCTTTCCCATTAAGAACGTCCTCTCTGCTCACAGCTCCTTATATTTAAATCAGCCATCTCGTGGAATTGTTTCATTGTTGGTGATTTCTAGAGCATCCATTACAGAGTCTGTGTTTGCTGTCTCGGCGTTGAACTTATCACTTTCCATAAGCAAACATCAAGCTCATCACAAAGTAGTGACTTGAAGGAATACTTAGCCCCCCATCCCCCACCCCCACCAGGGGTATTTCAGAGGTGAGGCTTGTGAGATGCTATTATGAACAACAGCAGCATTTTCAGAAGCATTAGAAGCGATGTTTATAGCAGTGTTTGCAAAGCAGAAATGCAGCAGCAGCAGTGGCAGAGCAACACTGAGCGGTGCACATCACTCTCACTTTAAACAGAACATTTCAACAGGACGTACTTTGCTTTAAATTATTCACACCTTTACCTCTGGATGCCCTCTAACCTTAATCTTTAAGTGAACCATAGGGAGTTGGAGAAGTAGATCACCACGCTTCAGTTCTCTTCACCTGTGCAAAGGAAAACATTAAATGCACATGTATGTAAGTATAATGCAGGAAATGTATAATGCAGCAATTACTTGATTTACATAAGATCTTAACATAGAGACTAGGATTTCAAAATATCTGTCTCAGAAATGTGTCACGGTGGAGCAGTGGTTGGCGCTGTCGCCCGTCTCAAGCTACAGCTGTGTGTGTTAGAATAGAAAGTACAGTCGGTCAAGTCAGTGCAGTTAAGCATGACATAATAAGAACAATTTGTTTTCTGATTTGACCTCCTCTTACACCACTATTAAGGACTTTAAGCAGCGACGGTTGAAGAGACAGTTACAGAGTAGATTCAATGTCGACACTTCCTACTGTTGCGGCCCAGCTGTCTGCTATAGGAGGAAGACTAGTTTGCCGTGTGATACCCTGTGATACGTTAAAGAGTTAGTGGGTAATTATACATTTTTGTCATATTTGACTCTGTCATTTCGTTTATATTCAAGTTTTAATGTTATTAGTTTTATGGATTATGAGTATATTTGTTAAATAGATCTGCTAATTTGATTTATTTTTCCAGTTTATTCATAGACATGTCAGCACAAACTGTTGAATTGATAGTTAACCTCCATCCTCTCTCTGCAGCCCTCCTCCTCACTGTGCTGTATTGATGAAACCATGACGCTGTCCGTGGTGCTGAAGTAACAAACAGATTTATACAAACTCCTCATCTGATTTTAAATTGTCTCTAAAGCAAATATCAAGAGCTCTCAGGTCATTTTAAGAGACATTCGTAGCAATGTTCAGAGCGACCCCCGTTTCCTGAAGAAGTGAAGTAGCCGTTGTTAGAGTAAATGTTGCTTAGAGATCTTTGATTTCCATTTCTACGGCAACGGTTTGGAATGTTTACGGGCGATGTAGTAGGGTTCGTGCTAGTGGGAGAAACACTGACAGCCTGTTCCTGAACACGGCTCCAAATACACACATGATGGAAATCGAGTTCTCTCTCTGGGTGTGTGTGTGTGTGTGTGTGTGTGTGTGTGTCAGCGGGAGACAACGCTTCTCAAGTGTTTACCGATGATGAACTACCCACACACACACACACACACACACACACACACACACACACACACACACACACACACACACACACACACACATATACACACACGCGCACAGACACATTACTGGGTATAGATTTACAAACACAGATCCAGCACTAACATTTAATATAATAGAAGGCTGGAGATTTACTCCCCTCACACCACCGCCCATGTCCCAGTTCGTCTAATCGAGTGGAACATCTGCTCCTGCTCCAGGAGGAGGGGAGCCAACCCTTTGCCTTCCCCAGCCTCAGAGCTCCTGATGTGGGGAGAAGAGGAGGGGATGGAGAGGCCGGTGGAGACACAATTAATGGGATTCCTCAGGGTCAAGGTTAAAAAGGCGTTTATCCTCATTAGGTGTATATAGGGTGACAGCTGCAGTTATTGGTGGGAAGTAGGTGCGTGTGTGTGTGTGTGTGTGTGTGTGTGTGTGTGTGGGTGTGTGTGTGTGTGTGTGTGTGTGTTTGTGTTTGTGTTTGTGTTTGGATTTATGTACAGTTTTATTCTTGAAAACTTTCTCCCAACAGTCTCTAGTCACCTGGGGAGGTCTCCAAGACTCTAAACACTGCACCACAATTAACCAGTGACATCATCAGGTCGCCAAGTAGAAGTTGGGAGAAAAAAAAAAAAAAAAAGCAGCAGCAGCAGGACAGAGAGGCAGGAGAGGGGGATTAGAAGAGACAGCCAATCTGGTAGCTCTCACTACAATCAGCTCTGCTCAGAGGTCATCCAGCCCCGTTAAGAGCAGGATCACAAAGACTGAGGATCCAAGTCACTGGAGCCTCAGGAGAACTGGAGCCAGGAAACTTTTCTCTGTCACGGCAACTTTTCTTTTTGAAGAAAGCTTTGTTGAGAAATAAAAATAAAATAAAAAGGATAGGTGATATTCACAGATCTATAACAAAGTACACAATTCAAGCTTAAAGCTCGATATTTTCCTCTTCTTCTGTGTTTTATTTGAAGTGTACATCTCCTCTCTCAGGCTTCTTTCTGAAGCTCTAGTCACAACAGGTCGATGAACCAATCAGAAGAGAGGAGGCTCTGAGCCTCTCCTCTGATTGGCTTTACTG